GGTCAGGTTTGGGTTGTATATATTGGAGACACCAAGGCCAACATCAAGGGATGTGGAGAATTATTATTAAAATATTTTTGATGCACTTCATTATGTATTTCAGTACAACCATATTTTGAGTGTGTATTATCATTGAGTTTATACAATTTTCCCCACTTGGGGAGGGGTGTCTGCTCCCCCTTGGATCTACCACTGACTATCAAAATAGGGAATAAGTTTCATTCCTAGAAGCTGGCAATATTTACCTAAAAGTAATTGCCCCCCAAGACTTGAGCCAATATTTCAGTGTAGCCAGTGGCCAGCTCTCTCCAGTTCCAAGGCCACCACACACATCAATATGATGAGGAATGTCAATAACGTACCCTTTACAAGACATATCATTGGGCCTTGTATAATACCATAAACAGTTCTGTTATAACAATTCAATTATCTATTTGCCTTACTGTTCATGAGCATTTAGGAAAATGGAAAATCTCCATCTGTGGTATTTCATTATCACCCTCCTAAGGTGAATAGCAGCTCCAGACTATTTTACTTAATAGCACAGTTTCTGGGTTCATATATCTGTGGTAGGCCTACCTATGGATTACCAGAAACCACATCTGAGGCTTACTATTATGCAAACTGTATTTGGGGTGGAAGTCATCATTAATTTTTCAATTTTCATTTGGCCAATTGCTACTGCCTTTTTTCCCTTTAGTACACTTCTGATGTAATATACACCAGTAAACACAGTTTTCTATACTGTCAAGAAAAGGTCAAAACACAGGTTCCAATGCAGGCCAGTTAAAATTGTATCACATATTTCCATTCCACAGAATAGATACAACTTATAGAAAAACAAACTACCACTTTACAAAATTTAACATGCCAAATCTCCATACCTTAATTTCATAAAGAGCCTGTGAGAATTATTGAAGCATATGAAACAAAATTTACTATATATGTTGGCAAGTTGCAATGTAACCTTTTGTACTCTACCGAAGTTCAGCAAACTTCCTTTAATATATTCTGACGAGACAGAGCTCCAACTAGATTCAAATACACAGGAGGGAAATGTACACACTAGTATTTATGGATGCATTTAGACATTTAGTGGAAGTGGAGGCCACAGAATTACTTGATATGGGCTTATTCATGGCAATAACCAATTCCCATTTTGAAAGCCAATGTAGGTGTCCTATGAACACTTATACCTTCCTCTGCACAAATGACCTAGATAACCCTTATCTACATATTAAGGTTGACTGACCTATTTACTTTTTTAAAGATGATGGGGGTTGCCTCAAACACTGCATTTCCTCAATATTTGTGAGGCCATTATTTTGTCTAGACGTCTTTTGTCTAATAGATGAAGATGGGTTTCATAGAGCTGGCAAAAAATGTGAAAACCAGAAATGCAAGATATAAAAGGCTGGGGGAAAGGTATCACAGACAAACTTGGGTCAACGCTTGGAACTTTCAAAATGAAAAACACATTAACACATGTTTACTACACAATGGCAGTGGCTTTCAAAATGGGATTTCTTTTTCCATAATCGCATTGGTTGTATTCCATGCAAATGGACTTAACATATATCACAATCTATAATGGGTGGAAAACAAAATGAATTCCAACACAACGAATATTGATAAATAATTTTTCTAATACTAACGACATAGTTTTTAATAGAATGTATCCAAGTATGGCTTCTAACAGATTCACAGAAAAGCTTCTGTCTAAAATATATGAATGATATTTTGAGTAATAGGTGAAATATGTTTAGAAGACATCCTCCTGTCTAGTTTGCTTGATTTGACCAACAAATCTTCATAAAAGGAACCAGCCCAAGTTTTGTCGTTCTTCCTAGTTTAGTCATTCGTTTAGGGCCTACAGGGTATAAGTTAAAGACACTGACGCACGTAGATAGAGGGAAATGGACACCGCCAACTTACAGAGCAAGAGAAATAGAGTGGGAGAGAATATAGTTTAAGCTGCAGCGGCCTCATATTTACCACTACATGATGAAAATTTAACACATACTCGCCTCTCAAATTTTTTTACCTTGCAAAGATAAACAACAGTGAATGCTGAATACATTACTGCAGTGTGTCAGACTGTAAAATTTCAAAGATGGAGGTTACGTCTGCAGAGTTACAATGGCCAATTTTAAGCGTTTTTTGTGCTATTTTAACGCATTATCTATCTTTGTTCTTCTTATTTAAGCCTATCTTACCCTATAATTTAAGTCTGTTTTACCCCATAATTTCCCTGATATACTTCATGCCTTCCTCTGCTAACAGGATGGATGGAGAAATGGTACTCGATCTCCTGAACGATTCATTCACACAAGAAGCAACGCCGAGAATCAATGAAATCATTGGATTTCCTGCATAAAAACAGCATTTTTTTCAACATAGGCTCTAGGAGGGTGCATCACTCTGTAACAAATACCCCCTTCAGTAAATATCATAACATTATCATATATATCATTACATAATAAGATCTCAACGTCCTTCTGTAATACAGAAGAAGTAACTACCATTACTAAAGAAAAAAAAGATGGTAAACCACAAAGATCCCTTTTCAGATTGCATTCCCTTTCTGCCCCTCACCCAATCTGCAATGCCCCCTATACCCTGTCCATTGCCCCCTGCCCCTTGCCCACCTTGTTGTCCGTGCACTCACCTTGGGAATGCGTCGAAGAACCATGTTCTCTTGGTGTTGAAGAGCACCCTGATGCCGGACATGAGGGGAGAGTGAAGGATGACTGCACCCACCTCATAGCGCGAGGCCAGGTCTATAGTGGCCGCCGTGCCAATGCTCTGGCCGTACAGGATGATGTTCTCGGGTGAAATGCCATAGCGTGTGCGCAGAGCATGCCAGGCCGCATCAATATCTGAGTACAGGTTCTTCTCTGACGGCTTGCCTGTGCTAACGCCATACCCAGAGTAGTCGTAGCTGAAGATGTTGCAGTTGATGCGCGTGCCCAGACTCAGGTAGAAGCTGCTCATGTGCCCCAAGTCGGCCGCATTGCCATGCGAGAACAGGATGCAGAAACGCGCATTGGGAGAGCAGCGCACAAACATGCAGGCGATCTTGTTGCCTCTGTTGGTGCGCGTGTAGAAGACCTCAATGGCCTCCTTCTCCTTGTCCGTGAACTGCCACTCGGCCTTCTCTGTGAGGTGCAGGCCGTGCCGTGACCCAGTCTCATCAGCACTGAAGCTGTACGTGGCCTCTGGCGGGATGAAGGCCATTTTGGCCGCGATGCTGGAGGGGCACGGCGGCCAGCAGAACAGGCAGCAGATGTCCCTCAGGCTTAGGCCGTTCATGGCGTAGGCGAAGGAACGCTCTCAGGATCCCCAACAGGCTGGGCGGCCTCCGCTCGCTCCTGCCTCCCTGCCTGCCTCCCTGCCTCGCTCCTGCCTCCCTGCCTGCCCGCCTGCCTCTCTCCCTGCCTCCCTGCTTCGCTCCCTGCCTCCCTGCCTCGCTCCCTGCCTGCCTGGCCTGGCCTCCGCCTCGCTCCCTCGCTCGCCGCCGCCGTCAGCGCCTCCCTCGTACTCGCCTCGCCACTCGCACTCGCTCGCCGCCACTAGCACTGCACTCGCGCCGATGCTCGCTCCGCTGAGACGTTCGAGAGGTGCTCGGGCCGCCCGGAACCATAAATGTGCATGGTGCTTTCACTCGCCGCCTCGCCACACTCACTCCCAGCGACCATAGGCGCCTGACCCGAGCGCCGCGGGAAGCCCGGAAAGGCGCGGCGGAGCGGACACGTGAGCGTCGCGGCGCAGGGAGGGCGATCGGACCCCGCGCGCGCCGCCGCCCGATCCCCTCGGCGGCCGATCCGATCCCACAACGCGCGCCCCCACACACGGTAACAGCCTTTATCCTGCGTTATTTACCCTTCACTATGACTAACTTCTTCCGGAGATGAATAAAGAGAAATGCTTTGATGGCGATTTATTTCCGCGAAAGGGGGAAGCCGGGCCCGAGGTCCGGCGCGAGGGCCTCGAGGCCTAAGAGGAGGCCCTGGCCGCCCGACGCCCGCTCGCAAGTCGCCAAAAGGAACTTGCACAAGTTGCAGGCTTGGAGGGCCTTGCTCCACGGCGTCTAATTCTAAATCTAAGCTCTTGTCTAACTCGCACGGGGAAGGTCAATGTCTCATCGCTCTCATGAGAGGCGATCTCGCGCTCTCCCTTTTAGGAGAGGAGAGAGGAAGGGGCGCGCGAGAAACTTCGCAGCGAAATGCAGAGTGGTCATGGAGAGCGAAGTTTATCTCACTTCCTGCATTCAGAATCCAGCGTCGAAGAGGAAATTGCAGGCTGGGAACTGCACCCAAACGTTTTGAGGGATGTTAAAGCTGTAACGCTTGTCTTGCATGAGCAGCGAGGCGAGCAAGTTGCATACTAACGTGCTCAGCTGCACATGTCGATTCAAACTCTCTTGCTGTTGCACATAAACTCAGAAATAGGTAGATGAATCGATGCGTATGAATTGCTATGTATAACGCACAGGGTTAATGCGATGTTTGTTGGTATAACTCGAGATTATAGTATAATTAAGTTATTCTTCTGGCCTTGTCGATGTATACGGGAGTACATTTTTTATGTATTTATCTGCAATTTCTTAATAACCTTGAACTCAAGTTTACAAAGACAATTGAGATTTCTTGCATCGAAAACTTATTATGGGCAATATTACCGATCGGAGTATAAAAGATCAGCACTCGAAGGCAGCATGGTATAACATAGTCCATAATATTTCATCCTAAATAATATTTTGATTAAATTATTGTCAAGTAACATTAATCTCTCTAAGAATTATTTTCAAGGGAAAGCGGGCCCCGACCAGCCTTGCGGGCGGGAGGCGACCAAGCGACATCAACAAGACGTTTGTGTGTTGACGCCGCATGAACCTCCCATGTTCGGTTGGATTTGACAAGTTTTAGGCGAGTCCTTTGTCTTTTTCTTGTTGATTTGGGATATTCTAGAGTTCAAAGGCATCTTCTTTAGATTATGTGCGTTATTTCAATTTCAATGACGGAATCGGTTCGATTTTTGTTACTAAACTGGACTCGTAGTGGCTTTCAAAACCGAAATGTCTCATCGTAATAATATAGACCGATTCGGTAAAGCGTCACTTTGTGAAAACAACCCCTCGTTCGTTCATAAACTCACTGTGCGTGTTTACGGATTCACTGTTTATTCAAGAATTTACTTCTTGAATAAGCCAGATTGGAAACTGCAAAGTGCGCGGTGGAATTGTTGTTTAGAAGCAAAAACTGGGCGGCTACATGTACAGATTGATACAAAAATGCACGGCTGAGTAAGAGTTGCTGGCTTCATCGGTCCAATCAAACAGTCATTGGCTTCAACTCAAGGAATTCTCAGTTCGCGGTTGCTCCTTTAAGTCTCCAATTATGAAGTGGTGTGGCTGAGAGAAAAGAATTTGTCCAGTTGGCGCGGCTAAGATACCAAGTGCACAGCAAACTTCAATCTGGTGCTGAAGAGTGTAGGCATTGGTTGTTCGAACCTGAACCCACTGAGAAGCTGCCACAGAGGCCCAGCAATTTTATCCACCAGAATACTTGCAATGGGAGTTTGTTGGTTACATCTGGGTAAAGTTGCATTTTCAACCAATAATCCCCATAGGTTGTTTTTTTGGGGTGAATTGAGCAATGCTCATAATCAGGAATAAATGGCATAGACCCCCTATCCTTCAGGCAACAATCCTGGGGGCATGTAAGGGAATTTAGAGTACTGGATGGTAGGAGAGGTAGGAATGAGAACAGATGTGATGTAAAATAATGTGGTATTTCTGCATTTTGTCATTTTTAGGGGACTGTCTCCCTTAATCTCCTGCACAAGGGCTTGCAACCTGGAATATATACCACATAAGATCAGCTAAAGCAGAGGCCCAACAAGGTAAACATCTCTCACTAGGAATCTTTGTGCTTATGTATTTGTGTAAGGCACATAAAGGGGCTGGGAGGGGGGGAAATGAAAGAATTAGTACTATCAAAGTATTTAAAGGAAAAGGTAATAACAAAATCCAATGGTTAACCCACTAGTGACGGTATATTTTGAAGCTGAAAATAATAGTTTCCAGGCGGCTTCAAAATCAGCACGTGAGAATGGCCTGGAATCTGCATGTGAGAATGGCCTGGAATCTGACTGCGTACCAGCCATGGCCCAGGACAGAATTGAAGCGCAAGCTCTGATCCAGCAGGACACCAGCAGGACGCCCGGCAATTTTTTTTTCCAGGTGTCTCATATGTGGGACACCTGTCGTAAATGGGTTAATAATGGACATCAAAGTGTATTGTTTTTTTTATATCAGTGAAATGATTAGATTGATCATTCTTTACAGTACAGACACACTCGCCAAAGACTAAATCCCCCAACCGTACTTCCTAAAATCAATTCAACAATTAAAGTTGCCATGACTGGGTGTGCCTTTTGGGCAATGCCTAAGGGAAGGGATGATGGGGGCTCTGCACCCCAACATCCCCTGAGAAACACCGCCTTCACCTAAGTATGTATGGCAAGATAGATGTGAAACTCAGGAGTACCAAGTGAACTTAGGGTGTGAGCGGTGCATTCTGCTATCTTTTTCCTCTATTTGTGTTGTTACCATTTGTGTCTGCAGATTATTTGTTGTACAAATGGCTGCAACTCTTTATTCTCTACAAGAATATCATATTTAATTTGCCCTACTTTAGTGCGTCCCTTAACTGTGGTGCACCAGATTCAATCTTTCCTGGATGCAGGTGTGCATCTCAGACATATATCTCTGGATTTTTTTTCTGCTTTTGGTGTATTCAGGCATAAAGCACTTACTTTTAAACTTAACTTCTTACTGCCAGGGATGACAGTTGTGCACACAGAATGTATCAACTGACTCCTTAGTGGCTAAGCACTTGAATTTAACAAAACTATAGTTGACATTACATGTACCCAGCAGCAATGGGTTACGTCAGCTAGTGTAACTGCCTGATATTTTATTAGATACATTATTAACAGATAGTGTAAAGTGGTCAACTATGGACAGTTTGGGTCACAGTTGGCAGGACATAATGCCACATCATTTTAATTTCACTTTATTTACTGTATTTACACAGAGATGGCTTCACAAATACTAAGTCACCAAGGAGTCAATTATCAGTCATATGGATCTTACCTGTTTACTCTTTTCCTTGATTTTTGGAAAGATTCTTTTCTATTATCATATGAGTATCATTAGTAGTATTTTAATAGATTTTATTGTTATTAGTATTTTGATGATATTTTGATAATGATAATGTCAGCAATGATAATATGAGTATCGATATTAATAGCATTAGCTTATGACCTATGACCCTTTTTTATGACAGTCTAAGTGTGGGAATTTGTTTTCGCAGCTCATAAAGTTATTTAGGGTAGTATGAGACTCCAAACTCATTTTTGACTCGCTCTCGCTCTCTCTCTCTCTCTCTCTCTCTCTCTCTCTCTCCTCTCTCTCTCTTCTCTCTCTCTCTCTCTCTCTCTCTCTCTCTCTCTCTCTCTCTCTCTCTCTCACTCTCACTCTCTCTCTCTCTCTCTCTTCTCTCTCTCTCTCTCTCTCTCTCTCTCTCTCTCTCTCTCTCTCTCTCTCTCTCTCACTCTCACTCTCACTCTCACTCTCACTCTCACTCTCACTCTCACTCTCACTCTCACACTCTCACACTCTCACTCTCACTCTCACTCTCTCTCTCTTCTCTCTCCTCTCTCCCTCTCTCCCTCTCTCCTCTCTCCCTCCCTTCCTCACTTCCTCCCTCCCTCCCTCCCTGTATGTATATATGTATATATATGTTACTAGTATAATAATTATTTATTTATTTTTTATATATATATATATATATATATATAATTTACATATTTATATATTTATATATATATATAATTATATATTATATATATATATCTATATATATAATATATATATATATATATGTATTATTATATATCCTAAGATACCCTCTATTTTATACTCCTCATATCTTATTTTAGTTGGTGATTACTATATGTATATATATGTATCACTATATTATAATTATAATATATATATATATATTATTATATATATTATATATATATATTTATATTTATATATATACTTATATATTAATATATTAAATTATATATATACAATTATACCTATAGTTTATAATTAAATATATATTAGTAGGTTATATATAAAATTATTCATATAACTTATTATAGTTTTATAAATACTATACTATAATAATATGTAATCTTATACCGTGACTATATTTTGGTAATTTTCTAAAACTTTTTAATATATATTATATTATATATATATATATATATATTATATATCATTTGTCTTTTCTACTACACACATTCTGTGTTTAGGTTTGAGACCAACCCTTATCACACAGTTATTCTGTCCGTCTTTCTTCCCAGGCAGTCACCATGGGAGACGCAGTGAAGCGATGGGTGAGCATGCGCCTGCATGATGTGCTGGGCATGAGTGACCCAGCCCTGGCCGAGTATCTCATCCGCCTGACGGAACGGATGCCCAGCATGACGCACGTGCTGGCCGAGCTGGAAGATGAGATCACAATTGATAGGGCTGTAGAGAAGTTCATTGGCGAGCTTTGGGACAGGGTAAGAGGTGAGTGACGGCTTCTGGGGGGCTATTTGGTCTCTTCCTGTCTCTGTGTCTTACTGTCTCTGTTCTGTCTTTTCTTCTGTTTTTTCTCTTTTCTCTCTCTCTTCTTCTCTCTTTCTATATCGTCTCTCTTCTCTCTCTCGTCTCTCTCTCTCTCATCTCTCTCTCGTCTCTCCTCTCTTCTCTCTCTCTCTCTCTCTCTCTCTCTCTCTCTCTCCTTCACCTCCTCTCTCCTCTCTCGTGTCTCTCACCTCTCTCTCCCTCTCTCCCTCTCGCGCCTCTCTCCCTATTCTCTCTCTCCCCCTCTCGCGCTCTCCCTCTCTCCCTTCTCCCTCCTCCCGTCCTCCTCATCTCTCCCTCGTCTTCTTCCCTCTCTTCCCTCTCTTCTCTATCCTCTCTGTCTCTCTGCTCTCTCTCCTCACTCTCTCATCCTCTCTCTCTCTCTCTCTCCTCCCTCTCGATCATCTCTCCCTCTCTCTCTCCCTCCTTTTGCACTCTCTCTCTCTCTCTCTTGTGCTCTCTCTCTCTCTCTCTCTCTCTCTCTCTCTCTCTCTTGTTTGCTCTCTCTCTCTCCTCTCTCTCTCTCTCTCTCTCTTAGTTCTTCTCTTCTCTCTCTCTCTCTCTCTCTTCTCTCTCTTCTCTCTCTCTTCACTCCTCTCTCTCTCTCTCTCTCGTCTCCTCCTCCCTCTCTCTCTCTCTCTCTCTCTCTCTCTCTCCTCCCCTCCCTCTCTCCCTTCTCCTCTCTCTCCCTCCCTCTCCTCCCTCCCTCCCTCTCTCTCCTCTCTCTCTCTCTAAATTGAAATGATATCTTGTCACACATATTCCATTGGGATTCACATCGTCAATCTAGAGGATGGCCCAGAAGGTCAGTTGGTTCTCGTGAGTGTCTGCGATCCCCAACCTTCCCTGTTTCCTCAGGCGGCAGCGCCCAGTCAAGCGGCGGCGGCGGCGGCGCCGGAGGCAGCAAGCGCCAGGCAGCAGCAACAGCAGCCGCGGCCGCAGACAGCTCGGACTCTGAGGGCGAGGGCCCCAAGCTGATCAAGAAAAGGCGCGGCGGGAGCTCCTCCAGCGACGACGGCAACGACGAGGAGCGGCAGCGCAGGCGCGACCTGCGGGAGAGGGACGAGTACGCCGAGCGGCTGCGCAAGCGCGACGAAGAGCGCACGCGCAACGTAGCCAACAAGGGCGAAGAGAAGGCCTTCGAGGAGGCCGCCAAGCGCCTCCTTCTGGAGAAGGAAGGCAGGGAGAAGATCCTGCCGCACCTGAGGGTCGAGTCGCGCCGCAAGTATCTAGTCAAACGAAAGGATGACAAGCTCAGGGAGCTGGAAGCCGACATCCAGGATGACGAGTACTTGTTCGACGATCAGGTGCTCACGGAGAGGGAGAGGAAGGAGCGGGAGTACAAGAAGACCGTGCTCAAGCTGGCCAAGGACTACGACCGGGTCAAGGACGCCGAAAAGGTGCAGAGGTACGTGATGCCCGAGGAGGGCGGCACCGTGGACGACAAGTACGTGGAGATCGACGACAAGGAGAAGAAGCCGGGCTACGAGCAGAAGAAGTGGGAAGAGGACCAGATGCGGGGCACGGCCCTCTCCTTCGGCGCCCGGGACAAGGCCGAGAAGTACCATTCCCACGAGTACAACCTCGTCCTGGAAGATGAGATCGAGTTCATAAAGTCACTTCCTCTCGAAGGCACGCGCGAGAAGAAGAAGAAGAAGAAGAAAAAGAAGAGGAGGGAGGAGGAGTCCGAGAGCAGCTCCTCATCAGAAGAGGAGGAGGAGGAGGAGGAAGCGCCGAAGATGTCCGAGCACGAGAAGAAGAAGATGACGATAGCGGAGGTGAGGCGGAGTCTTCCCGTGTACCCGTTCAAAGAGGCGCTGCTGGACGCCATCGCAGAGCACCAGGTCCTCATCATCGAGGGCGAGACGGGCTCCGGGAAGTCCACGCAGCTGCCGCAGTACTTGTACCACGCAGGGTACTGCAGCGACGGCAAGAAAATCGGGTGCACGCAGCCCAGGCGGGTGGCCGCCATGAGTGTGGCGGCGCGCGTCTCGGAGGAGATGGGCAAGAAGCTCGGCAACGAAGTGGGCTACAGCATCCGCTTCGAGGACTGCACGAGCGACCGGACCAGGATCAAGTACATGACGGACGGCATGCTGCTGCGGGAGTTCCTGATGGACCCCAGCCTCGAGGGCTACAGCGTCATGATCATCGACGAGGCGCACGAGCGGACGCTGCACACCGACATCCTCTTCGGTCTCCTCAAGGACATAACTCGCTTCCGCTCCGACCTCAAGCTGCTCATCTCGAGTGCGACGCTCGACTCGGCCAAGTTCTCCGACTTCTTCGACGAGGCGCCCATCTTCAGGATCCCCGGCCGCCGATACCCCGTCCACATCTACTACACCAAGAGCCCCGAGGCCAACTACATCGATGCTGCGGCCGTGACGGTTCTGCAGATCCACATCACGCAGCATTTGGGCGACGTCCTGGTGTTCCTCACTGGCCAGGAGGAGATCGAGGCCTGCCAGGAAATCCTCACGGAGAGAGTCAAGGCCCTCGGGAACAAGATCCGCGAGCTGGTCGTGCTGCCCATCTACGCCAACCTGCCCTCGGACATGCAGGCCAAGATCTTCGAGCCGACGCCCCCGGGAGCCAGGAAGGTGATCCTCGCCACCAACATCGCCGAGACGTCGCTCACCATCGACGGCATCACGTACGTCATCGACCCGGGCTATGCCAAGCAGAACTACTTCAACGCGCGGAGCGGCATGGAGTCCCTGGTGGTTGTGCCAGTGTCGCGGGCGTCTGCCAACCAGCGCGCGGGCCGGGCCGGCAGGGTGGGGCCGGGCAAGTGCTTCCGGCTGTACACGCAGTGGGCGTTCGAGAACGAGATGGACGAGAACACGATCCCCGAAATCCAGCGCGTGAACCTGGGCAACGTGGTGCTGCAGCTCAAGTCGCTCGGCATCCACGACCTCATCAACTTCGACTACCTGGACCCGCCGCCGGCCGAGACGCTCATCCTGGCGCTGGAGCAGCTGTACGCACTCAAAGCGCTAAACCACAAGGGCGAGCTCACGTCCACGGGCCGCAAGATGGCCGAGATCCCCGTCGACCCCATGATGTCGCGCATGATCCTGGCCGCGGACCAGTACAAGGTGGTGGAGGAGATCCTGACCGTGGCGGCCATGCTGTCCGTCAATGGGGCCATCTTCTACCGGCCCAAGGACAAGGCCATCCACGCCGACACCGCCCGCAAGAACTTCTTCCACCCCGACGGCGACCACCTGACGCTGATGAACGTTTACAACGAGTGGGAGGGCACGGAGTACTCGTCGCAGTGGTGCTACGAGGTCTTCATCCAGCACCGCTCCATGAAGCGCGCGCGAGACATCCGCGACCAGCTGGTGGGGCTGATGGAGCGCGTGGAGGTGCAGCTCACGTCCAACCCGGGCGACTCGGTGGCCATCCGCAAGGCCATCACGGCCGGCTACTTCTACCACGTGGCGCGCTTCAGCAAGGGCGGCATGTACAAGACGGCCAAGAAGAGCCAGACGGTCATGATGCACCCGCAGTCGTGCCTGGTGGAGGACCTCCCGCGCTGGGTCGTGTACCACGAGCTCGTCATGACCACCAAGGAGTACATGCGCAACGTGGTCACCATCGACGGCAAGTGGCTGCTGGAGGTGGCGCCGCACTACTACAAGGACACGGAGGTGCACGACGCCACCTCCAAGAAGATGCCCAAGACCCTGGGCAAGGCCAGGGAGGAGCTGCAGAAGGACTACAAATGAGGCTGCCACCTCGTGTATTCTTACGTAATGTTGGTCTGTTTTTTAAGAAAATGTACATACTTTATTTATGTAAGAAAGAAGAAGAGTTTGTCTAATAAAACTACGATTTATTTTAAGGGTTTCCGTGTACACAGAAGAGAAAGTTCCTTATT